CCACCGGGACGGCCGCAGGTACCGGGGGCATGGCTGCTGGGGCTTTGGGGAGCCCTGCTCCCTGCCCTGAGTGTCCTGACCGCCCTCCCTGCCTGTTCTGCCCAAGATGGGCACCACCACACAGGGCTCCCCAACCCTGGGGCTCCCCAAACGGAGAGTTTCCCCAGCCTGTGGGGCATCCCCAGCCTCAGTGGTCCCCCAGTGCCCCCCAGCAGAGCTGGGCAGGGGTGACGGTGCGGGGGGCTTCTCTCCCCCAGGTCATTACATGGTGGTGAGCACGGGCAGGGGCTCTCTGCCTGTGGGGCGCACGGCTGCCCTCACCTCCCAGCCCTACCAGTCCTCCGCACCCGCCCACTGCTTGGCCTTCTGGTATCAGCTGAGCACCAAGACCCCAGGTGAGCACCGTGACCCCTTCCTGAGGACCTGGAGGCACCTCTGAATGGGTGGGGGGTCCCAAATGGCACTGCCCAGGATATCCCCTCCATTGCGGGTGCTCTGGGCAGGCTCCCTTGAGGTCTTTGTGGAGCAGAATGGGATGCGGAGGAAGGTGATGGGCGTGAGCACCATGGAGGGGGACGCCTGGCACCGCGACCACGTCACCGTCCAGCCGGATGGGGACTGGAAGGTGAGAGGGGCAGGGTGCTGGGGACATCGCAGTGGGGACAGGGACAGGCTGGGGATGGTGATGGGTGCATGGAGGCTGCCAGCCCCAGCGTGTCCCCTTGCCTGCCCCCTTGCAGGTGATATTTGAGGCGGTGGGGGCTGGGGGTGACCACGGGTACATCGCGCTGGATGACCTGCACGTTTCGGATGGAGCCTGCCCTGAGCCAGGTGAGAGTCACAGGGGCACCATGCATTGGCCAAGGGGGGGACAGGGCACCCCGTGGGGACACACAGCCATGGGGATGGGGACAGCCTGGCCCATCTGTCACCACTCTGCCCTGCTGCTTTGAGCTTGGCCAGGCTCAAAGTTAGAGGCAGTGGGGAGGGAGTCCCCTGCATCCCACTGGGCAGTGGGTGCCTGCAGCGCTGGGTCCACCACAGCCCCCTCCTTTCCTCCCAGCATCCTGTGACTGCGAGCGGGACATGTGCGGCTGGAGCAGCCCCCCGGACCCCCGCCTGCACAGCTTTTTTTTTTGCGTCCCTCTTGCCAAGTACCCCGGCCCCGAGCAGGATCACACCCTGGGCACGAGGAATGGTAGGAGACACCCAGCCCTCCTGGGGCATGGCTGGGGGGAGCACGAGGATGTGGGGTGGATGGGGTCACCTATGGATGTCCCCCACAGCATCCCCATCCCCTCCTCACCCAAAGAGGGACAGCTCAGTCCCATGGGCAATGAGGAGTGAAGCTGGGAGGGGGGGTGCAATCCTCTGGGCATCGCTCTGGGCT